ACAGCCCTGCGAGCTTGGTCATGTCACCTGGCGCGGCCAACGCATGCGCTTTCCACGTGTCACATCCATCATCAATGCTTTCCTTCCACCTTACGTTGAAGCTGGTGGCTGCAAGCGTGTTTCTGCCACTCTCCATAGTCTGCGAAATGTGAGGAAATTCGCAATTGGGAAGGATGCTCGTTGATAAAAATGCAATGTCCAAGACTTACTCACGAACACGTTTGAACATCTCATGAAACACCAACGACAAAACAAATGTACGCATGAGAACCCTTACACTTTTACAAAACACCCCACCCCCAGAACACATACACACACGCACAAACACACACACATACACGCACGCACACAAACAACTACCACACAAATACACCCACACATACAATCAAACACACCCACACGCACAAACAAACACACACACAATGACACACACGCGCACACACACGCACAAACACCCACACACACACTCATATTCACACACAAACACACACACACACACACGCACGCACGCAAACACACACACAAACACGCGCAAGCACACACACACACACGCAAGCACACACATACACACACGCAAGCACACGCACACACACACGCAAGCACACATACACACACACATGCACACACACAGACAACCATACACACATACACATATGCAAGCACACACACACACACACACACACACACACAAGCACACACATACATACATATATACACTCACACACACGCAAGGACACACACACACACACACACACACACGCACACATACACACGCAAGCACACACACACACACACACAAGCACACACACACAAGCACGCACACACAAGCACACACACACACACATATACACACACACACTCAAGCACACGCACACACACACACACGCATACACACACACACACAAGCACACACACACATACACACACACACATATACACACACACGCAAGCACATACACATACACACACATACACACACACACACAAACACACACACACATACACACACACACATATTCAAGCACATACCTCCTGTAGTGCAACCATCCGCTTTGGTCCATTTTCGCTCGGTGTCTCCGATGCTTGAAGCACGCGTAGCATGTGCATTCGCACATCGTGCTTCAAAATTTGAGGGATTGGATCCCTCTTGTTGGTTGCACGGTACGCGCGCTTCACAAGTGGTTGATGAAGGTACTCGTACATGTTGGCGCTATAATGCATCGGCACCCCCGATCGAATGATGTCCTCCACCACGTGTGCCAAGGAGTGCACTTTGGTGATGTCGAACTCCGACTTCTGAAGGCCCGCGAACACACTCTTCAAGAGTGGAATCAACCTGTAGGAGGGAATAGCACGCATGAAGTTTATTGAACAAACACAACACAATGGCGCGTTGTAAGAAAATCGAAACAAATCACAACACAAAGACAATAAAAAAGAGTGCTATACAAACACTAAACACAAGGGGACGGAACGTTAAGAAATTATGAAACAAAATAAAGGCCAACATACTACTAATAACGATGGAAAGAACCTTACCTCTTGATGGCCTCATCAAGCTCTTGCAGCGTCTTGGAGGTGTGGTACCAACGCCGAGATGCAAGCATGTAGCAATCCACGAATGCTGCTACCGCACCAACAACCGAGTTCGGCACTCCGCAGTTGGCGAGCACGATCGTGATCACTTGCATCACCGCACGATGCTCGAACGCTTGAAACCGTGCAGCACCCGCAAAATAGCCGCCCTTCTCGGAAGATGGAATACGAAAACCCGAAATTCGAGTGTCGGTGGCAATCCGCTGCAACTCGATGTCGAGCGAACGTTAAACGCGCGATCTCGTGCGTAATACGCTCGAATGCAGGATACAATGTGCAAGAAGCCCCCAAGGTCCATTGCGTGCATCACCTCGACAAGCAAGGCACGATATGGATTGCCGACGAGTGTGCGTCCGCCTCTAAAACCCCACAAGGCTACCTGCGCAGGGACGGGTGAGTGAAACTTAGTTACCGCCCATGAAATATAACACATAGAACAAAGTCTAGAGTTACACACGCACACAAATTCGAAGAGGGACAGCGTTAGAAAGAAGGATTCTGCAATGTACGCGCACACACACACACAAAAACACACTGCGCAATAAAGATAGACGCACACCCAAACTATACGTACCTTGATGGGATGCGTGCTGATTGCTTTTGATGCCTTGGTGCGCTCGGGGCCACTCGGTAGTGCCAACAACGCCTCAACTTTATCGTTCTGGTCCTCTTCCGTGCGATATTCCGCCACCGCCTCCATGTTGCTTATGTCTTCACGTTTTACATGACACCTGTGGCACGGGAAGTTCGCTTTGTGACTTGCAAACGTCCCCTCCAGCTTGCACACTTCCGGGTGATCGGCCACATATGCGTAGACAGCGGGAAACACCACTTGCGTTTTCCCAAAAGGGTCTTCCATTACAATGCCACTGTGCAGGTAAAAAAGAGTGATGAACATGTGAGAGATACGATAATAAGGGGAGGGGATGTGGATGTGCACGTGAGGTGAGCATGCAAGTGTCAGAAGACTTGCACTGTGAGATCCCCGATTGAGGGTTATGGGTGCACTCACCCGCTACACAAACAAGCCCTTTTATGCCAGTGGTTAGTGGTTGGGATTCTGACAGCAAGATCTCATCGTAGTGATAAAACATACTTGCAACGCATACACCAACACCCAATAGAACGAAAAGCACTCACCCGCACACTCAATAGATACTCACGCGTAAGATGCCTCCTTGAGTTCTTTGAGAACCACATCCAAAGCCAGTTGGAACACCTCCCGATGAAGCGCCTTCCCCTCGTCCGTCTGCGAGTCCACATTCGGAATTGGCGGAAGCATAGCAACCATCCGATGCCCGTGTGGTTGCCAACGGTTCTTGAGCGTGACGTTTCCGAGGGTGAAATAGACCGAATGTCCCGTAACACGACCATCGTTGCTCAGGTTTGTTCCGTCGCTGTAAATAATGCACGCTGCGATCACGCCACCCCTCGAGCATTCTTCCTGCATCTTAATCCATCCATCTCCCGTCTCGGGCCCCGCGTATATCCGTTGTTTCTTGTCGGACGTGTAGACTGCTGCCGGTTTGACCACAAAGCCGTCCTTGTTCGCGCTATCCAAATACATCGCCTTCAAAGCCTCCACCATGGAGGTTACGTGCACTATGACTTCATGCCGCTGCTCAACACCACCTCCACCGCTCTCCATTCCACCATGCCCGTAGCCTCCGCCAGTAACGACTTCTCGTACTTTGCCAAGCCTGCGCTGTTCTTGTATGACGGCTTCATGTAACCGACCTCGTGCAATACGCTCAGTAAGGTATTGATGTCTGTTGCAGACATTCCCATGCCTCCATTGAAACCTCGAATTGCTTTCGTCAAAGCCATGTCTGTGTCAAATGGGAGTTTCTGTGGAGGAAGCTCTGTCGTAGCACTATCCGTTCCGAAATCTACGTCGTCGTCGTCACCGTCGCTATCGACCGACGTCGGAAACTCAAACGGGGGCGGATTGACATTGGTTTGTGGAGCAACTCGTGCGCGCAACAGCCGGTTTACGTCATTCGCACGTTGACGCTTCAACGCCTCTAGTATGCGTAGGTTTGCACTATCTAACGCTGGTGAACGCTTTCTGCATGTCGCTTTGTGATTGATCATTCCCTGTCCAGTGTTGCAGACGAATCCACATACACATGTAAAATCCATGATAAAGATAGTGCATACACGGATGTACTCCACTGTTGGGGAGAGAGAAATCTAGAGATCCTACTTATTGTCACATACACGGATGTACTCCACTGTTGGGGAGGTCGTCTCCTGGACCTGCACGCAGATACAAGAAATGTCAAACGGCTATGGTTAGCCAATCAGGAGTCAGAGCCTGGAAAACTCTAAAAGCTTGAAACCATAACCTACCCCATTGGTCCCTAAAGCTGCGGGACGCAAACACACTGTACACCGCGGCGGCACGTCGCGCATGCGCTGGTGTGTCGTCGAAGTCGCGTCTCTGCTTTGGCGACCCTAAAATTAATCTAGTTAAAAAAAAATGAGATCGAGTCGCGCCCAATGATCTACCCTAAGCTGGACGCGCACCCGTCTTACATGCGGGGCGAGGCAAAGCATGCATGGCGAGGCGTCGTTTAATTCAAAAAAAAAACCGCCGAACTCGACTAAAAAAGGGTGGTTTCAGCGAGATGGCGGGTTAAAGGGAGACGCCATGGCGGGCAACTAATGCCTGCTCTACGAGAATAACATGCACTTTGAGTGAGGGGGGAAATGGAGGGGTTGGAGGGGAACGGCTACATGATGCGGGCACCGCTTACAACTGCGCAAAAACATTCTGAACCGCGTCAAACACCCTTCGCCCCTAGCTGCCATGGCGACAATGCCAAAAGTTACGTGCGGTATTCGCATGATCGCAGGGTGTGCGACTCCGTCAACATTTTGGTCCAGCTGGAACTTTCGCGCGCCGAAAATGAGCCGTCCGAACGGCTTCGCGACATGGTTACCGCATCTAAAAAATGTCGGGTCTATTTCCGGGTGTTAACATCCATACTTCGGTTGTAAACAATGTATTTATGCCCAATAATTGCCCGGCTGTAAATAAGGCAGACTTTAGCCGTATTCGGGTCGATAATTGCCGGACCGTTAATTACCCGGGATGGCCCTTATTGGCCGTAAATCAGCATGGCGCCGGGGTCAGAGTTCTCCACTTACTGGGGTTGAAATGGCAGTGAACCAGAGTGCCATTCACAGTTGTTTCTAGTTCTGATAAAAATAGCCAAATTGTCCTTGTTTACTTTCACTCAAAAGCCACCATAACTATGCCTAAACTTCCTGAAAACACCCTATCATTAACTAATGGTAGCACCCTAATAATAGTAATAAAAAACAATGTGATTATCAATTTTCTGTAGAAAATTTGAGCATACATTAGAGCAGCAAAACTACAATTAGAAAACCAGGGTTTATGGCAGCAACCCAGCAAACTCGTCCTCAAACCCTGCGATCACAATACGCACTAACGGGTTTGCTCCCATCTGAAAGCCTGTAGGGGCAGTGTTGCGATAGATATTATCCCCACGGGATAACCTATCCTTAATCCAATCAATAATCACCCCCACTTTCAGCTGCACTTCCCTCCTGTTGTTCGAGTCACTTCCATCTAGGGCAGGCGTGTCGCGGCTCCCCGCATTTGCCATGGGCCATTCAACCTGCAGGGTACATTTGAAAATATATGGGAAAATGGGGAGCAGGGATAGAGAGGGTGTATTGGAAAAAAACCGGACGGTGAGGGACAGGTGCATAGCAGAATGGGGAGCAGGGAGAGAGAGGGTGTGCTCGAGCAAAAACTGGATCGTTGGCAAGGGAAACAAACAATGCAAGGGAAACAAACTCACCACATGGCAAATCGTTGCCACCACTGGGATCTTGGCAAACATCGTCTTACACCTGCGACCGCCAAGTCCCTTGCAGAGCGCCATATCAAACGCCTTGTTGGCGAACGGGCGCCCCATGTCAGGATCGCAGTGCCACTTGCTGCCATAAACGGCTGCAAGCACAGAAATCCGCTCGATGTAAGCACAGTACATGTGGATCTCAGGAAACAACAGCTGGAAGTGCTCGGGGCATGCAACGTTAAAAACGAGGCGAGTACTTACGATCGAAATAGAAAAGGTGCCACTGCTGGACGTTGCGGCGCTGCACCGGCGCCATGTTCTCAGCAGCCAGCATGGGAATCTTCGATTCCCTGACAAACCCGCCTGACCCATGTGCCCACGTCTTGACCTGCGTGAAGAGGTTGCCCCGACGCTCGCCGACCTTGTCTTTAAGAATCCTCTCCCGTTCCGGGTGAGAGTTCATGACAAGGTTGAACGTTTCCTCGGAAACGTTCACCAGCCGATACGTACGGATGAGTTGCTGCCTCAACTCCTGCGGCTCAGGCCAGAAGTTAATCTCCCTCGGGGGAGCCTCAGCAATGAAGTAGAGAACCGCTTGGTTGCACTTTGCCTGCCATGCACAAGACGGAAATGCAAAGTGCAAGATATCGGTTGAAGGCAAGCATGTAAGGATCCATGGCTCTACCAACCAAGCATCGGTTGCGAGGGTGGGTGGGTGGGAATACGAGGTTGCGAGCATAGGATCAAGGTACAGAAGGTACGGGGGTGGGTGGGTGGGAATACGAGGTTGCGAGCATAGGATCAAGGTACAGAAGGTACGGGGGTGGGTGGGTGGGAATACGAGGTTGCGAGCATAGGATCAAGGTACAGAAGGTACGGGGGTGGGTGGGTGGGAATACGAGGTTGCGAGCATAGGATCAAGGTACAGAAGGTACGGGGGTGGGTGGGTGGGAATACGAGGTTGCGAGCATAGGATCAAGGTACAGAAGGTACGGGGGTGGGTGGGTGGGAATACGAGGTTGCGAGCATAGGATCAAGGTACAGAAGGTACGGGGGTGGGTGGGTGGGAATACGAGGTTGCGAGCATAGGATCAAGGTACAGAAGATACGGGGGTGGGTGGGTGGGAATACGAGGTTGCGAGTGGAACATTGAGGGTATAAACGTAAGCTAGGCGGCGGGTATTCAGAATCAATACGCACGGTTTACCGTGAAAAAGGTGAGCTCGGTAAGCGATTCCGGAAGCTTGGTCGAAGGCTCGCGAGCATCCGGTTGAGGTGCTGGGGATCCCGGATGAGCGAGGGGGGAGCCAAGTGAGCGAGAGGTGTTTGGCGCGAGCGGCGCAGGAATCGCGAAGGTTGCCAGAGATCGTCCGACCGCCCCAGGTGCGACCGCAGGCGCCAGAGTTGAACGGACCACGTTTTGGCCCCGTGAAGTACTTGCAACGTTGACCTCATTGTTGGGGCTACGGCTCGCTGGGGGCAGTGCGGAAGTTGGGGCGGAGCTGCTCGCCCGGAGCAGTTGATTCGCCCGCTGGCTCTCCTCCAGTTGCCGCCGAACGTCCGCCAATGTCTCCTGCTGCAACTCGACCGTGCGCTGGTGATCAGAAGCTGCAGCCTGTGCTCTGTCAACTTCCTGAACAACTTCTGCAAAACACCATGCATTTCACATTCATATCACATCACAATCACACGGGGAACATCCACCACGAACACAGCAACGGGTAAGGATTAGTCATGCGCATAAAACAAAACAGCAACAACACAGAATCAGCAAGGAATCCTTACCTTAGCAAGGAATCAGCAACGGGTGTACGTATCCTTACCTTCCGGTTTTTTCTGGCGTTTACCCTTCCGCTTCGAGGTGGGGTTAGAAGATCCGGCATGCACAGTGGCAACAGAACCTTTCCTGCGCCGAGGAAAGGCGCGGTCGTCGTCACCGCTGTCGTCGTCGTCCTCGCTAGCGCCGGGTTCATTTTCGTCCACATCGTCCGCTGCTTCTAACGCAGGCGACAGTGTGACTGGCAGCTGACCATCGGCAGATCCAATGTCTGCCACTGGATCTGCCTCAGGCGCTAATGGAAGGTTGCGAACTGCGCCATGCTCGTCCGCGTCGGCCTCGTCACACGACAGCTGCTGATCGTCGAGATCTGGCGTGAGCAGGTTGGCAGACTCAGAACTGGAGGAGCTCTTGCGGGTGAACTCCGCACTGACTTGAGACATCAAAAACTGAAGTTGCTCAGGTGACATTCCATGCAGGTTTAGTGTCGAATTGTCAGTTTGGTTACCGACAGAAACCTCATTCGCAGCTGTAACACTAGCCTTTCGCCCAGGTAAGGTAACACCAAGTGTACCAGTGTTGTACCTTGCAGGCGCCACTACTGGCCTCTGAGGGCGGCCCGTAGGAGGCACACTTCCAGGAAGGGAATGAGGGCGTGGGGTCACCATCTCGGCAGAAACAAAGACAACGCTGTGAGCTGAAGTGTCGCACATCCCCATTTCCATAGTCGTTTACAGCTGAAAAATGTTGACGGAGAGCTCCTGATTGGTGTACGAAAGTGGTTGAGAGTCGCGACGGCATCTGGTCTAACTCTATACCTGGCGACACCTTTGCTGTTGCCAGGCGACGCCGTGGGCTCGCGACGAATCGCGCAACCGCACTGCGGTCATTTTACAACGAGATGACCACGGTACAGCCGCCACGTGGTCTAGGACGATGTAATCCAAGAAACGTGGCGACATCCACACTATTATAAGAACAAAATATAACGCGCACGACTCTCCCTTCTCCCACCTAGTAGATACACTAATCAGGAGCCTAGAATTCAAATGCAACTGTATACTAATGGCATTATATATATGTATATATGTTTGTACAACACTGTCATCAAAACAGAAAATGGTTAAGGAACCACGTCTCGCCTGCCGACTCAAGCTGCACAAATTGTACAGCTCTAAGAATGGAATCTGTCTCTACTACACTGTACCTTTGAGATTCCCCCTCTAAACTGAATTGTCGGCAACCAGTGAACTCATCTAACTCGTCATGCTCGATATAATACTTCACGAATGCGAATTCGCGTCGATCAGTACCATGGCCAACATGGAATAGTAGCAGAACTTTGCCGTACCACTCTGTTCCTGTACCTTGGATTGCAACATCACTGAACCAAACCTTCTTGTGGAATAGGGGAATTGCTCGGATACGGTGTGGGGTGCTTGAAAATGCCTCGTCCGTCGCGGGTGGCATGGCCAACTCAACATGGACCTGTACAACAGTTACGTGTCACATATATCATCATTTGTAAACGCTTAAAGTATTTGTTTCAATGGGTGCTACAAATAAGCGTGTCAACAGAAACGTACGTAGATTGTGTCGATGTTGAGGCCGTTGGGTATGTCGCGATCAATGGAAGGACGAAGAAATTGGAGGTTGTTATGTAGGGCATCCAAGTACGATTTGTCTCACTTCAGATCAGCCTTTGTGAATCCGACGTATGGGTGCTCGCGACGTCTCGCGTGAACGATCAACCCCCATGAACTCTTGGAGAGTGTACGCGCATCCGTCCTCAATGCCTGTAGGAGGTTTAGCAAAACGTTAGGATGGTACCATCATTTACACAAAGTGGAAGGCATGTTTGTCAATTGAAATTATACGTACCTCATGCATTGCATTACTGTATTCGCGTGTAGTGTCCAAGTCGGCTTGAGGTAGCGAATCCAATTGCAAGCGTACCTCCTCCGCTTGGATAATTTGTCCACCCGCGTCACGCTTGTTGGATGCACGGTAGGGCCTCTTAATATGGTCCTTGTGAAAGTTCTCAAACATGCTTGCATCATAGTGGAGTGTAGGACCCGCACGGCGAATTGCGTCGATGTAGTGACTCATCAAGTGGGTCTTGATGAATCCCCATTTGTAGTCCGGGAAGCTGCTTTTCAAAAGCTCAATTAGTCTGCAAATACAATCACACATGTTGTAGTCAGGTTGAGGGTCGTATTACAATGATATAAATGCATTGAAGAAATCATACGTACCTCTTGGATCTTTCCTCGAGTTTTGTCAAGGTTTCCTCGTCATAGTCTTTCGTCTTCCCACACGTGTGGTACCACTCGATGTATGCCACAACGGCATCCATGTGGGGTTTCTCCACATAATCTCGAATGAGGAAAGGGAGGATTTGCATGACTGACCGGTGCTCGTAAGCTTGGAACGAAGCACCAAGACGGAAGTACTCGCCAGATGGTAGGCGCAAACCATCAACCCGACATGTCAGCTTCAATTGTTTCAATACGCTGCAACGAACAGGAGAGAGATTTGTTAGTCTTATGCATTGTTGAATCTTAGAAAGAATTAGATCATGGAGCTGTAACGTACTCGTCAATGCAGACGTGGAATTTGTTATCGATGACCCCTCTTAAGGCGGCAATGATGTGCTCCAGCATGCCAAGATCGGCCTGATGTATTAGGTCTGGCATAACCGCCATATAAGGGCTGCCCCACGGCTCTGACTCAAAACGGAACCCGTGAAGCGCGCACTGCGTTGGGTTTAAAATGTGAGGAGAGTTTTTGAGTGAAACATGATTAGTATCACACGGAAAAGCAGGAAGCTCTTTTACTCTTACCTCTACATGATGACTGCTGTAGGTTTGCGGGTGAGGCTCCCCGCGTCGTCGTGAGGAGACGGCCTTGTAGATGACCGATTGTTCTTCGGATGTGCGATATTCATTTCTCTGCGTGGAAGAGTCTAACTCATTTTTGTGGACTTTGCATAAGGAACAGGGGTAGAATGTACCTAGAGACTTGGTGCAGATAAGTTTGCACGTCTCTGGGTAGTCCGCCACATAGGCGTATAGTGCTGGGTAGGCCGTGAAAACGTGACCAGACTGGTCGTGCACACGGGTCCCCCTGAAAAATCGAGAGGTATGCAACGGGACAGAGAGGTGAGGCAACTCGAGATAAGGGAAGCTTGGGGCCAGCAATGTGAAAAAGGAGGGTAGGGGTACAGAGGAGGGAAGTCACGGAAGCTTGGGGCAAAGATGTTTGAAGAATGCAAAGAGTGAAGCATGGGGCAGCAATCTGAGCAGGAGAGGAGGGACGTGAGTAGGTGGGGACTCGCGGAAGCAAGGCCCATACAGTTGAAAAGAAGGGCATCATGGGGCGAGCAATCCGAGCAAGAGAGGACAGGGATGAGTAGGGAGGGGTACTCACACGTGTGAAGCATCTTTCAATGGTTGTAGAATGAGGCGCAAGACATACTGGAAGATCTGCAATCGATCGACCGACGTGTACTCCGCCGGAAACTCCGGTAACGTTGCAATGAGCGCATGCCCGTATGGCTTCCAGCGATCCTCATGATGAATGTTTCCCAATGACATGTAGATGGGATGACCCTTAGCCTTTCCCCGACCGTCAGCTATTGTCTCATCCGACGAGAGAATGAGAGTGGCAACGACGTCGTCGATGCCAAGGCGATCCTGTTGGGGGGGTGGAAGAGAGATAGTGTTCTGAAAATGAAGGAGATACAAGGATAGGATGGGAGGGGTTATAGTTACAGAGAGAATGGCAGTGAGAGAGAGGCATGTGCTGGGGACAAAAGGTATCTTGAAAACAGGTTGCGAGGGGCTGGAATAACAGAGAGTGAGGCAAGGAGAGAGAGGCATGTGCTGGAGAGAAAAGGAGTGGCAGGGAGAGGTAGGGAGGGACTGGAAAAACAGAAGATGGGGCATAGAGAGAGAGGGAAGTGCTGGGGAAAAAATATGGGGCAGGGACAGGAAGGGAGGGCCTAGGAAAAACAGAATGTGGGGCATAGTGAGAGAGAGGGAAGTGTTGTGGAAAATTATGGAGTATGGACAGGAAGGGAGAGGCTGGGAAAAACAGGAGGGGCAATGAGAGAGAGAGGCAAGTGCTGGAAATAAAATTATGGGGAAGGGACAGGGAGGGAGGGGCTGGGAAAACAGAAGGAAGGGCAATGAGAGAGACGGACGTAATGGGGAAGGGGCAGGTAGGGAGGGGCTGGGAAAATAGAAGGAGGGGCATAGAGAGAGAACGAGATGCTGGGAAAACAAATATGGGGAAGGGACAGGTAGGGAGGGGCTGGAAAAACAGAAGGTGGGGCACTGAGAGAGAGGGACGTGCTGGGGAGAAAAGAAGGGGCAGGGACGTGTTGGGAGGGGCTGGAATTCACAGAAGGAAGGGCAGGGAGAGAGAGGGAAGTGCTGGTGACACAAGGTTGAGCAGGGACGGGTAACCCAGGGGCTGGAATTTCAGAGAGTGGGGCAGGGAGAGAGAGGGAAGTGCTGTGGAGAAAAGAAGGGGCAGGGACGTGTTGGGAGGGGCTGGAATTCACAGAAAGAAGGGCAGGGAGAGAGAGGGATGTGCTGGTGACACAAGGTTGAGCAGGGACAGGTTGGGAGGGCCTGGAATTCATAGAAGGATGGGCAAGGAGAGAGAGTGATGTGCTGGGGACAAAAAATGAGCGATGGGAGTGAATGGAGGTGAAGAAGATGAGGTGTACTGCATGCGAGGTACTCACTTGCACGTTGTTCCAGAAATCGCCGGTTTCTGGAGCGTCGTACACCCTCACGCCCCTCACTCTCTTCCGATACGCACGTGTGACAAGCGGATGGCTAAGTCTTGGTTCACTCAACAGATCTTGTAGGGCCTGCAAATGTTTTGCCATGAGGGAGCGAGGGATTAGTGGGGCGTTGGAAACAAAAACATGAGCAAACACTCCAACATACCTTCAAGCTATCACAGTAAAAAAAGGTCAAAAAGGCCTTAGATCCAACGCCAGTAACCCCCTTCTTCCACGAACGGTCGCAATCAGCCACCCTCGATTGCACATGCCGGTACACATCTCGGGAAGATGTCCATTCCGCAACGTCCGCCCACGATGCATCCTCGTGGCTAAGAATCTTAAATAATCTAGCTACTGAACGTTGAGATGTACGCTCTTGTAAAATCCAGCGTGCTGATTCGTCTTTGAGGGAGAATGGGGTTGCGGGGCGCGGATTCGATCCGTTGGGAATCTGAGAAACATCCTCTATCCCACTCGAGTCACTCATGCGTGCCATGGATGCCTCCGGATCATCGGCGGCACGAGCGGCTGCCGCATCCACATCCACATCCACATCGTTCTCCTCTGGTTGCTCATCAAACGTAGGCGGTACGACAACGTTTTCGCTGCTTGAAGGACTCCACACGCGACGACGTTGAGCGGGGG